CGCGACCCGCTCCGTCGTCACCACGATGGCGCTCAGGTACTTGCCGAAGAGTTTGGTCACGGCCAGCTGGTACTTCTTGTGGATGGGGTGGCAGAGGTCGAACAGCCGGCCGAACTGTCGCGAGAGACGGAGACGGAGCTGAGCTCCCGGGGCGAAGGCTCTCCCCCCCACCGCGCCCTTGCGACAGCTTGCCGCGGGGAAACACTGATCCGGACGCCGACGTCGGTGGCGCGGCACGCCGCGGCGGTGCCTCGCGGTGGGTGCAGGCGGCTCTTGCCCCGGGCACCCTCTGCACGTGGAGTCTGCACGTCTGAGCCGTGGGTCGTTTGGGTTCCTGACCAAGTGGTCTCCTTCCGCGGTCCCGAGACATGCCGCCTGGGTTAATCGGGGGGGGGTCTCTAAATTAGGGTTCCCACCGGTGCCTGTGCGCAAAGCGAAAGGGACTGGCGACCATTCTGGGATGTAAACTTCTCTCCTTCGTTCGGACAAAAACCTCGATATCTTAAGAGCCCAGAAACTGGGCTGCGTGCGCACACTCCTCGTCAACGGTGAGTGCCACACAAGCAGTGCCAATTTTGGGGTTTATGGCTTCAGGTTAATTTCCGCTTAATTATTTTTGTGATCATCCCTATTAAAGGCTGTCATTCATTCCGATTCCGCAGTTTACAGTTTTTGGTTACTGTTTTATACAGAGAATTGACAAGCACTTAAGGCACTGCCTAAGGTGACAAAAAAGGAACTGCCAAGAAGCACTTAAGAGGCTAGCAACAAGGCTCCAACAGTTCTCGTCTCTTTAGCATAAATGGATCACGACGTGGCTCAAGCTCAATTTATTTTATTTATTTTTTACGGTGGATACCGGAGGAGATAAATGCCATAATTGTTTTGTGGAGCTTCTTAAGTTTTTGTCGTACTCGGACAACACAATTTCAAATGCCCACGTGCTTGAGCGTTCAATAAGAAACCACAACCAAAAAGATCTGCAGCTTCTGCTGTTGAAACAACAGCGCCGTCAACAAAAGCAAGGCCTCTTTTATTTATTTTATTGGGGGGCGAAAACCACCGTGTAGCAATAAGATAACAACGGTCACACCTAGCCACGCGCTGCCTATTCAAAATGCAAACACTGTAGAAATTCAAAGCGAGTCGAAAACCCTTTCAAACGGCGTACCGCAGTGAAGATGAGGACGTCTTTGTGACCCACGCGCCCCCTCCTGCGGCTCGCTCCCATCTCCCACTGACACCGCCAGGAGCTGCTTCCTTCAACAGACTCCTCTGCAAGTCGACCCAGGGTCACACCGCAGGTAGGCTGGCTTAGTTTAAACACTCCCACAGGGGGAAAAAACTTCACCACACAAGAATAAGATCCACCCCCCCACCCGTGGCAAATAAGAAGGTTTATGTTTAGTACCACCATCCACGGTCTCCTCTATATATTGTAATTGTGTCTTATCTTGTGTATTCTGATTATTTATTGTTGTATTCTTCTTATTTATTGCTATTGTCATCCTGTAAAGCGCTTTGAGAAGCCACCTTTAAAGGCGCTATATAAAATAAAGTTTATTATTATTATTATCATCATCTTACAGGGCGTCCTGTCTACAGCGATTGTTCTGCGGGCCAATCACACTGATTTCCCACCTCCTTACGCACGTTCGTAAGGGCTGAGGAATGGGGCAGGCTTATACGATGACAAACCTGATTTCCCTGCGCCCCTTCTCTTCCAATTCAGGGTGATGGACGAGCCGGAGCCCATCCCAGCAAGCAACGGGCACAAGGCAGGGGACACCCTGGACGGGACGCCAGTCCATCACAGGGCACACACACACACACAGCCTCACGCCAAGGCCAATCTTCCCAGAATCCAACAGCTACTAACCTACCAGCATGTCTTTGGGCCGCGGGAGGAAACCAGAGCACTCAGGAGGAAACCCACGAAACCTGCGCAAACACGGGGAGAACACGCAAACTCCACACAGACAGCACCCCCAGGTGCCGGACCCAGGGCCCCCAGCACTGCCAGGCAGCAATGCTGACCACTGCGCCAGTGCGCCATACCGAACGCGGTTCAGTCATCACAAAATTCTTGAAGTTCACTAACCCCGACAGCCTTCATTTAAGCAGGCTGTCGATGGCGACATGTCTTAGAAAGCCGCACAAGCCAGAAGCCCAGACTCTGTAGGCTGTGTGCTCAATGCCCCTCTGTTACAGCAGTGTGCTGCTTTGGGTCTCGATGGCCGATTATGCACCCAATCACACAACTGCCAAAGAAAAACACACAGGGGGTACCTGGCAATCTACCGGACAGTAACCAAATGCAGTCCCGGCCCCCCGAGCACGGCTGAGTATTAAATGCTATCCGCGTTCAGTGTGGATCACTCCCCTCTTAAATGACATTATCGATCGGCGTTTGGGGAGCGAGCCGAAGGGATGTTGGGGAACTCCTGGGGGCTCCTCAGCTACGGAACGGAAAGCTGAACAAAAAAAAAACAAGGAACCCCAAAAACAGTAAGCCGGAGTGAAAGCAGGGCCCAGGACACCC